AAAAAAAAAAAAAGAAATTTTTTGTTTTTGAAAAAAAAAAGAACTAACATTGACCCTAAACTTCAACAATCGCAGTTGCAGAATGGAAAGACGACAATGCTTTAAGTTGTGAAGCATAAACTTTTAGCTAAATTTTTGCTTTACTATACTTACCATATTTCTGGATGATTTTAGTCTCTAGATGACAAATTTACATTAATAACTTCGTACCGCTAATATCAACCGTATTTTCTTTCCTTTTTTTTTCTACTATTGTCGTTGAGAATCGATTACTTCTGATTTGTCTTCTTTTTTTTTTTTCTTTATTTTGTCAATTCTTTATGTTTATTGTTCAATTCATCTTTTCACATGCACTGTTCACACCGTTACACATTACGTTTACAGCATAACTGTTGTAAACTGTAAGAGGACAACGAAAGAATGCATAAATATAAATATATATAATAAGCATAATAAATATTTTTTTAATGAATTAATAAGATTACCAGCTATTTGCTGTTCTTCCAACCAGTCAACTTCAGCTGCTTCAAAAGACTTCGATTTATTACCGTTTATTTTACTACCATTTTTACACTGTATTCTGTCAACCAACAACAGTATGCAAATACCACCAATAAAATATAGGCCTATAAATATTTGTTTTTAATTTCTTAGTTTTTTTCTTTGTTTTTTTTCTCTCTGTAGCATTTTGAATATTAAAATGTTGAGACCACATAAGCATGCGAACTAAAAGTGGTAGTAAAAAGAAAAAAAATAAAGAAAAAGAAAAATAATCCTATATTTTTCATTGCCTATCATACAATAACTGCCTAACGTTTCAAGAGATTTGAATTGATTTTAATGTTATTTAAAACTGCTATGAAAAAAGAAAAAGAACAATCTATTTATGAGCATATTTCTAAACAGATTTTCTATTTTTTGTTTTTTTTTTTACCCAAATCTGACAGAAATTGGATACAAAGCATTACCCATTTTCAACTCTTCCACTCTTCTCTCCTTTAATTCGTTAAACTAAGCTAAAACTATAATTCTTTTTTTTTTCTTTATGCAACAATAAACCTGTATATTTATAGTAGTTAGTTTTTATATTTATAGTTGGTTTTAAAAATCTTTAAGAAAAAGTTACTGTACCTTTAGAGGCGTTATAAAACTTCAGGAACAACTTAATCATCTTGACATTATTGTACCAAACAGTAATTTCTTTAGTAGGTTTAGCAAACAACCACAGTAGTAAAAGCAGTAAATAAACAGCAGCAAAAAAACTATCGATGATTTTAAAATCAAAATCAATAGTCAGTTTGAAAATAAGAGTTGAAAAAAAAAAGGCTTCTCTGTTTGCCCAGATAGCTACAAATTTAGAAAACTTGCAAAGAAACAGAGATCTGACAAAATGTTAAAAAATGACTTCAGAATTAAACAATAACAAAAAAAAAAATTTTTTTTTTTTTGTTATCGTTAGATGACCCAATTTAGTGTGGCACTTTTCTTCAAAGAACAAAAATCTAGAAAATTTTTGTGACACAACAAATTCTTCAACCAAATATTGACAAATTTTTTGATCTAATCTTCACCTTCAATTTTTCTTTCAATTTTTATCTGCTTTTTCTGCTTTTTTTTTCTTACAATAGTAGCTAATACTTTTTTTGACATTATTATTACTGTATAATATTATGTAAATTCTATTTTGTTGTTTTTATTATATATTTATATAGCATCGTTGGTTGATATGT